TCTTCAGAAAGTGGAAGACCTCCTCCCTTACCTACTGACCCAGACTATCAAGTCTCTTCAGGGCTGCCTGCATCCTCTTCCTCTGTGACCTTCCACCTCACCAGGGGGAAATGATTAAAGAGCAGGCAATTTGGGGAGAGTGCAGGGCATCCTATGGAAAAGCTGTTGGATAGAAGGACCAAAAGAAGACAGAAGCTCCACAAAAAGCTCAACAGAGCCAACAAATTCCTCCCCCCAGGGGGGGGGGGACTGTGGAAACTGATGCACCAACCATGGAGAGGACCTGGGCTCACTGCTCAGATGTAGCCCATAGACAACTCAGTCTCCATGTCTGTTCCTTAGTAAGGGGAGCAAGGGGCTGTCTCTGACATGTGTAGGGCCTTTATGACCATCCTTCCTTTCACACATTCAGCTAGGCAACCTTGTTTCTTAAAATATACTTGAGGTCCTATATTCTGCTGTAGAATGTCTTGGCTTTCTGCCTCTTCCTTGTTGCTCAGAGCCTGCTTGCTTTGCCCTGAGAAACTGGATACCTTATCTCTAGCTACTCTTATCCTCTAAATGTACATTCCTCAGGAGCCCTCCAGTTCTTATCAATCACTACTTCTGTGCCTACTGGGGATTCTGACGCACAAAACTGTTTGATTAGGACACATTCTACTTGAGCGGCTTGAATTCAGTAACTGTTTCCTGTCCCCAAGAATGGCTTTGTGGCAAGGCTAGAAATTCTATTGCCCAAAGCCTGAATCCCGTTCAAAGGGAGGTAATGATCTTTTGCATGTTGCTAGTAAACACATCAAGGTTCTGGCTGACCAAGTACCCCTGAAGCTTGAGGAGGTAATAGCTGAGGATCAGGGAGCAAGCAGCAGCCAAAGGCTTGTGGTTTGGTGTACAATAAGGGTTGTAGTTTACTGGAGAGCACTGCATCCTCTGTGCCTCAACAGCAAAGCCAAAACAGGTCCTGCTGCCTTCATGCCTCATGCTTTGTTTTCTTTTTCACTTCTTGGAGGCACCTTGAGTGAAGAGCCCATAACTCATCTTTCTCTCCGCAGTAGTCAGATCTGACCGATCAACATTTGCTTCTGACTGCAGATATCTGTGACATGATGTCTGTTCCCTCTGCATGCTCACGGCTACAGCTCTTTCCCTCTAGCTTGCCACCAGGAGTTTCTGAGACACAGTATGAAACCTGCCTTCTTGAGAGATGTTAAATGAAGGGATTTTGTGTTATGAAGGATGGTTTCCAAGGGGCTTCTCTGTAAGGATGGAGAGAACAGAACAAGGGCTGCTGAGGGACCCAAGCCTGCAGAACCACAAATACAATACCTGTTCTCTGCTTTGAACCCTGGAAAGAGTTTTGAGTGGCTCTAAGCTGACTCCACATTCCTGAATGATTTCCTCCTCTGGGAAATTAGAGACAAGATTTCTGATGAAAAGAAAATGAGCTTTGGGGTCAGGGAGAGCTGGGTTCAATTCCTGACTTTGCTTTCTAGTCTCATTTTACAGAGGTTCTGACTCTCCTCTCAAACAAAGAATTCTTCCACTTTCAGTTGTAGATGGATACCTGTGTAAGTCAGTTTTCTGTTACCATAACAAATTACCTGAAGCAATTGCTTTATAGAAAGGAAACGTTACCTGAGCAGTGGTGGCACTTACCTTTCTTTAAAAGCAGAGAGAGGCAAATCTGAGATCAAGGCCAGCCTCATCTACACAGCGAGTTCCAGTACAGCTAGGGCTGCAGAAAAACCCTGCCTTGGAAAAAACATAGATAGATAGATAGATAGATAGATAGATAGATAGATAGATAGACAGATAGATAGACAGATAGATAGACAGACAGACAGACAGACAGACAGATAGGTAGGAAGTCTGGCTCACAGTTTGGGACGTTTTGGTCCATTAATTAAGCTGGGGAACAACTAAACAGCCCCAGTCCCGTTGCTTTCCGGTTGTGCAGAGGCCATAAGTCATGGTGGCAGAGCATGTGATAGATGCAAAACTACTTCACGATGAGCAAGAAGCAAAAAGAGAACAGGGTGGGCGGCTCTGGGGAAAGCCCTCTGAGGTGAGCCCATCTCCACGTGCTAGCACACACACACGCAGGCACACTCACGTACACACGTGTGAACATACATTTACAGGTACACACCATTTTATCACCTTACCCCAGGGCCCGTTTCCTGGTGCTTTTCTTCCTCCAGGTCGCAAAGGAATTTCAGGTTTGGCCCTTATTATGGTATATGCCCGTACAGTGGCAATCCACTCCACGCTCACCGCTCTGCTTCTTTCATGGCAACCCACTCCACGCTCACCGCTCTGCTTCTTTCATGGCAATCCACTCCACGCTCACCGCTCTGCTTCTTTCATGGCAACCCACTCCACGCTCACTATTCTGCTTCTTTCTGAAGTGATATGTGGTTGTAATGTCGTCATTTCTGTCAGACAGTTGGGACGGAAACTCATTGAGACGATTTGTCACGTAACCTCCTTTTTTTTTTTTTCTGGACAGGGTCTCACTGTGTAGCCCTCCTTATCCTATAACTTACTTTGTAGACCAGGCTGGCCTTGAACACACAAAGATTCGCCTGCCTCTTCCTCAGGTGCTGAGATTCAGGCTGTGCACCGCCAAGCCCAGCTTTGCACCCCACGGGCTGGCTGGTGGTACAGGCGTTGGAGAACCTACGCCCTGTGACTGAGAAGGGAGACTTTGGGTTCAGGTACCTAAGCTCCGTTCTGGACTCTCTTCTGGATGTGGGGGCTTATTTAACTACTCTAGGATTCTGCAGCCTTTGGAAGAAGAGAACTGCTCTGTGGAAGGATCTTGGGAAGGAAAAAGATGAATCTGTCTAAATGCCTGTCATAGAGCACCAGGAAGCATCAGATTTCACCAGCACCCGCTCTGTCACCTGGCTCTGTCACCTTCCTGTTATAGCATCCTGTTTCCAGCCCATGAGAGAAAGGAGACAGGCACACGAATAACTGTCAGGAGAGAGAAAGCAGTGGAACACTGAAAGCAGACAAGCCTTCTAGAGTGACCAAGCAGGGGCCCACGAGGGCAGTGACACTGAATCTGCAGCAGACATGATTTGCCAAGTTTCAACAAACACGTGTCAGATGGGAGATGCTCAGGACTTCCCATCTGGCAACACAGAGGAGGACGATGGAGGCAGGAAGGTTCTGTGAGTGAAAGGCTTTCAGCAGGAACAATGGTTCACACCTGAGTTCAAGGAGGCTGGATCAGCTCTTCCTCACCCCAGCTCTGGCTCTCTCTCCTGATCCTCTGGAATCAACGCCTTCCTGACAAGGAGCAGCTCTCACCGTGTTAGAAGGGCAGCCTATTCCTGCTCCCATGGAAAAGCTGGCAAGAGCCTAGGGCCTAATATCTCCCTCAGCTCCTCAGGCCAGCTGGGATTCTATTTTTAAACAGCACGGTCTTAAGTTGACAGCTTGGAACGCCTTCTCCTTCGTTTCTTCCTTCCCCCAGCCGTTCACAGCCCAGAACCCAAGAGAAACTAGGGATAGAAATGACCCTATAATGGTAAACAAAGGGCCTGGTGTCCCTTTTCACGGCGCTCCCCGCACCCAGCCTTTCTCCAGGGTGGTTGGTTAGTGGACGGATGTTAGACAAAGCTAATGAAGCTTACATTTCAGGCTCCTTACTCGCACAGGCCTTTTCCCAAGGTGCTGGGTTAGGGTCCAAGCAATTTTATATCCACCATCTCTGTCTTCTTTTTCTTTAGTAAAGGTATCAAAATTTCGTATACCTTGCCTCATTAAACTTGGGTCTACTTGTCTCCATCTCAGGATTTACATCAATGCAGTTCTTAAAAATTTTTTAAATTTATTCTTTGGATATTTTTCTGCACGAATACAGTATATTTATATCGTACATACCACCAGACCCCCCTGGTCTCCCTGTCTCAGCACTCAGCATGGAGAGGGCTCATAAGGTACCAACTCCTAGCTGAGGAGCTGTTGCCTGTTTTTTCTCATTTTAAAATGGTTAATTATTATTATGTGTGTATGATGTAAGTGTGAGTACAGGTATACAAGCCACAGTGCACAGGGGGAGGTTGGAGGACAAATTTTAGGGGTCAATTTCCTCCTTCCATCAGGGATTCCAGGGTTGAACTCAGGTTATCAGGCTGAGCAGGAAACATTTCTACCTGCTGAGACATTGCTGGCCCACTGAAATTATTTCTATTTCTCCCCAAATTATTATAAGAATCTTTGGAAATTTTTTTTTTAGGTCTGCATGCTGGACATTTTTGTATCAACTTGACACAAGCTAAAGTAATCTGAGAGGAGGGAGCCTCAACTAGGAAAAAGTCTTCCATTTTCTTAATTAGTAATCGATGTGGGGAGGGCTCAGCCCGCTGTGGGTGGAGCCTTGCCTGGACTGGTCCTGGGTTCTGTAAGAAGGCAGACTGAGCAAGCCAATAAGCAGCACCCCTCCATGGCCTCTGTCTCAGCTCCTGCCTTCAGGTTCCTGCCCTGTTTGAGTTCCTGCATGACTTTCTTCAATAATGGACTATGATGTGGAAGTGTGAGCCTTTAATAAACCCTTTCCACCCCAACATGCTTTTGGTCCCGGTGTCTCATCACAGCAGTAGCAGCCCTAACTGAGAGTCTGTTTCCCATCTGTCGCCACATTAAGCATCAAGGACCTCTCCTCTCCCAATAGCTCTCCTCTGATTACCCTTGTCCTTTCTCTCCTCCCGTCCTCTCCCCGACCCTCTGTGAAGTACTAAGTTTGTTGGTCTCTGTTGTTCTCTGGAGCTACATGAGTTGGGCTCTGAGACTCACACTGGTCCTGTATTCCATTCCATCACCCCCAGGTCTCTCTGTTGATGTATTTATTGAACCATTGAACTATTCAACTGTATCTTGACCAGTTTCTGACACTAAAGGAGATCAAGTATGTAATACAAATACCCCACTCTTTAACTTCTATGTACCTGTCACAGTCTGATTCTTGGTGTTTCAAATACCCATTGAGTAATTTGAGTCTTATGTAGTCTTTCATCTTTTATCTTTTCATCAAAAAATTAACCAGCAGCCATTAATATATTACATTAACAATGGCACCAAATGGGAGAATGTACTCAGGAACCTTGAGGTGTCATGGATATCCCACCTGCCACTTTGAATCCCAGCTACTACATCTCTGGAGTATGGGTAGGACCAAGACAAGAATAGAGAAAGGATGTGATCATCCTTATCTGTGCTCATACCAAGGCCCTTTTGCACAAGGTTGGACACGGGGTTGAGTAGTCGTGGGAGCAAACACATGAAGAAGCTTCATGTAAGCCACACCTGCTCATCTGTCTGCCAGTGTTCAGGAGGCCCAGGAGGATGCTGGGTCATTTATTCTTTTGTTACATAGTTTGCTGACTGGGGAGGGGCAGGAGAGAAGGCTTTCCTTAGTGCCTACTGGAAAAGGAGGGGGGACTTTTTGGTCCTGAAAGATCTGCAGCTCAGGAAGGCATGTGATTAGGCCTGTTGATATTTTCAGTGCTGCATGAGGAAGGTCAAACTGGGGACAGCTTGCAATGTCCTAAGTCAGAGCTGCACTAGGCTATGAGCGCTCTAGAAGATTGCCATTAATGTATGCATGTGAGCCAGTCAGCCCTTGTGAGAGTTCCTCTTGTGTAGGGAAAGTTCACTGCTACGGACACTGTGTCTGTCTGTGAGGGCCAGGTGTCCAGGGTGGGGCTCAGTCCCATATGAGAAGTGTGCCTTCTTTCCCGCGTGAGGCTCCTGTCTGTTCCAGGTTGGGCAGCAAAGATAAAATTTTCTGTGTGTAGGGGTCTGTCCGTGGAGTTGGGTTCCACCTGGATTAGCCCTGGTTTGTGTTTCTTAGGTGTTTGCATGGATCAGTTTATAGAGATTATGTATCTTTTCTTGTCCTCCACTCCCCCAAACCCTCAGCCGGGCCCCAGTGTGCTGATGGTGGTATAGCTTAGCCTGGAGAGAGAAGCGATGGAGGGGGTAGGAGGATCCTCGTCTGGAAGGGGCCGGGGGCGAGCTCGTGGAGGCCGTGGGCAGCAGCGGGCACAGGTGTCCAGGCAGGCCTGGCGAAAGCGGCGGTGCATGAAACAGTAGACCAGGGGGTTGACACAGGCGGAGGCATAGCTCAGCAAGTGGATGAAAGAGATAGGGGCCCCCGAGAGCGCCCGGTGCGCTCCTGGACTGTCGAAGGCACGCCAGGTGTTGGCGCTGAACACTGGCAGCCAGCACACGAAGAAGAGCGCAACTATCACCAGCAGCATCCGTACCACCCGTTTCTTAGCCAGCAGCTTGGCCTGGTTGGGCCTAGGGCCCGGGCCTGGCCCAGGAGTGGGCGTGGTCAGCGTAGTCATCTCCAGTCGGGACCGCGGTAGTTGCACATAGCAACCGTCACTGTCTTCCCCACCCAGGCTGGTCTCGGGTCGGCAACCCCCGTTCTGGTGGACAGGCCCTGAGCACAGAGCACAGAGGGTGCAATCGAAGCGGAAGGCAGACCCCTCCTAAGCTGCAGCCCAGCCTCCACTCGGCGGACCTTCCCCACCGCTTTCGTACCCCGCACCAAGGCCACGCCCCATGCCCCATGCATTTCACCCACCTGGCGCTGCCCTACCGGGCAGGCCTCCTTGGTTTCGGACCCGGCTTTGGGTCTCACTGTTGCTGTCACCATCAAAGCGAAGCCCTAGGTAGAGCTCGCGAGAGATGAGCCCGTAGGCCACCGCCATAACCACACCCGGGATGAAGAACAGGAGCATCAGCAGCAGCACCGACCTGGAGATACAACACAGACCAATCGCTGTCCCCTGAGGCCAGTCACAGGTGGAAGAAGAGGCAAAAACTGGGGTTTCTACACTCAGGTGTAGAATTTGGGGATAGTACTGGAAAGGGCAAGAGACTGGCCCTAAATTGGAATTCCAAATGTGGGGGTGCAGAACGGGGCTTGGCGAGAACATTCTTGGGGACTCCTCCGGGGAGGGGACTTTCTAAGATAGGGCGGTGGGGTGCCCTCACCAGGTTTGTTGGACGCGCGCACTGGGCCAGCGATGCTCGCACTTCAGTGCTTGAGGCCCCACTGGCTGCACCACTGTGTACACAGGGTAGGGTACCATAAGCAGGCCAGACAGCAGCCACGTGGCTAAGATCACCCGAGCTGCGTGGGAGCGAGTCTGCCACACCCGGGCTTGCAGTGGTCGGCAGATGGCGCTGTACCGCTCCAGGGCGATGGCCACGAGACTTAGCGTGGACACGCTCACGGACACCCCTAAAGGAGGGTAGAGGAAAGGGTCATCTTAGAACCCCCCCCCCCCCGCATGCTCACTAGGAGGATTTCCCACACCCTCGTCAGAAAAAACCCTTGTGTTTTCAGAAGGGAGAGGGCAGAGTGGGGATAGTGTCTGTCTCACCTACCCATGAGGTAGGAAACTGCCTTGCAGATGACTGGGCCGAAGACGAAGGTGCCCATGAGGTTGGGCAGGAGCGTGAAGGGCATACAAACCACAGCCACCAGGAGGTCGCTGACTGCCAGGGAGAGCAGGAAGGTGTTGGTGACAGTCCTCAGGCGCCGGCTCAGTCCCAGGACCACGATGATGAGCACATTTCCTCCAACACTCATCAGAAAGATCACCGCATAAAGGGTAACTCTGATGGCCAGCTCCAATTCTGGGTAGACACAAGAGGTGGCTGTAGGAGGCTCTGAGCCCCATTCACCCAGACTCCCAACCCCACTCCACTCCCAAACCATAATATCCAGCTAGATCCCGACACCTTGAGAACACTCTCTAACCCCCAGGGATTTTTGTAGTAAAGGATGATGGATGACGGTAAATGCTTCACCATCCTAAATGCCGAGGCTTAGTGGAGTTGGCCCAACCCTACTCTTCCTTAGAAAAGCCCGTCTCTCGTTAAGGTTGGTACCATGCTTGCTTTTCTTTGCAAACACTTTAGGGAATCACTGGTTGGATACTTCTTCTCAACATCACTAATCTGTAGCCACTAGATTGAAAGGTTCCTTCTCTGACCATTTCACTGGAGCTCCATGGACCGTGGACCCTCCACTCCCCAAAAGCAAAACAAACAAACAAACAAACACCCCCCAAGTAAACAAAAGAGAAAAGGCGTCCACTACTCCTGTACTGTCCACAGCCCCTCCTTCAGGGCTGTCTCCTCCTGTCAGCGCTCTGCCCACTCAAGCCACAAGATGACTCAGTTTCCTGAACGCATCACGAGCACTCGTGACTCGTAAGCTGGTTTCTCAGCCTTGAAATGAATACTGTTTCATAACCTCCTCCCCTTGTTTCCACCCCCCACCCCATCCAAAATGCGGTAAATGTGTTCAAATCCCTTACCCACCAAGAATCAGACTGATGGCCACTGCTTTGGAAAGGCTACCCTGGACACCTCATTAGGGGAACTAATCCATGCATGTCCCACATTCCCCACACACTTATTAGAACCCCCCTTTTCATTCTGGGTTGTGCTTTAATATTCTCCAAACATTCTCACTCAGTAAACATTTGCAGAGAACCCACTTTGTGTCAGACACTGGGGACAAAAAGGTGACTATGACAATTCCCTGCCATGTGAGAGCTTACAGTAGAGTGGGAATCTGAGATACTTCAACTGATAATTGCCACACAGTGTGATAAGGCCGAGAGATATACAAGAAGCTGTGTGAGCCTCAGGAGAGACCCATGCTGCTGGGTGAGTCAGCAGGGCCCGGAGTGTGACCCATTCATTCGTGTCATTGTCTATCTACAGACTCATCTTTGGACCTGTGTTGTAAGCATGCAAACCTGAACAACACTGCATTGAACTGAGGTGATCTGAGTTATCCGTTCCTGTGTCCTCGGCGCCAGGGAGAAAGTATGCGACAGCCTCCCGCTCTGTGGGGTAGGAGGGGTCCAGTGAAACAGCCCTCTCTTCTTTAACTCTCTTCTCTTAGCTGACTCTTGGCTTAGTTTCCAAACTATATTGCTGTCTCATAATGATAACTAGCTTATTTAGAAGTTGTTGTAGGGCTCAAATAAGGTCTAGTTATTAGAAATCCTCAATTAGGAGCCTGGAGAGCAGGCTTAAAGATGTAAAGAGTACTTCCATGCCAGTTGGCTCATAACTGTAATTCCAGATCCTGGATCTTGGGAACCTGATGCACTATTTTGGATGCATGAGTGTCTTTTCTGTGTTCTTTTTTTGTCCCTTCGAGTGTGCTTGAGTGCACTCATGCACACACATGGACACACATAGACACACACAGACACACACACGCATACTACAACTACTCTTATTAAAATAAATCCTTAGAAAAGAATTCCTCAAACAGGACTTAGCCGTAACATTACTTGCTTAGATCTCTGGATACCTAAAAGTTTTGCCTACAGCGACTGCAGGGCCCAGCCGTTCATCATGCTATTTCTATTTTCTCGGTGTAGATGCCTCTTTATCCCTATCTCTATTCCATCGTGGCGCCTCTCCCCACTTAATTGTGCCCTCTCCTCTGCCTGTGTGTCTTAGGAGGTGCATGTTGGAGGGTCGTGATAGACCAATAGCATATGACGGGCTGATTTTGGACAGTGCTCTTGCTGTTGTATGTCTACTTTTCAAGCTCTCTTCTCCTCCTTCTTCCCCGCCTCTTTCCCTTCCTCCTCTTTTTGAAATTCTTTTTCTTATTTTTGTCAGAGTTTCTTTATGTAGTACTGGCTGTCCAGGAATTCCTAATCTACACCAGGCTGGCCTTGAACTCACAGGGCCCATGACCTTCTAAACCAGGCATGGTGGAACATGCTGGAAATCCCAGGGATTGGAGGCAGGAGGATCAGGTGTTCAAGACCTGCCTAGGGTACATGTTAACCTATCTAAAAACAAAACAAAACAAAAGCAAAGCAGGCTTTTCTAAGAAAGGCTCCACAGGAAGTGCAGCAGCCAATGCCTTCGCCTGGCGTGCTGGCGCTCGGGTTGTGTGCTCTGGTGTGTGGTTACTCACTAACAGAGAGGTCAGTGTGGTGCTCGTGTCCTCATGCTCACTCTGCAGGGACAGTGCTCGACTGACTGAGAACAGCTGGGTGCACGGGGTGTTGGTGGCAGTGCGCAGGAAGCAGAGGCCATGCGCAAGGGTGAGTGGGTAGCAATAGCTGACAATGCTGGGTGCTGCTCTGCTCTGCTGTTAGAGGATGATGGAGAGGTAGGTTTAAGTTTAGAGACCACCAGCGCGGCTGTGATGACACTGGGGTAAGCAAGGAGGATAGCCAAGATGAAATATCACCTCGGTTTGTGGGTGCCGCCTCCAGGAAGCTATGTGCAGAGCTCTGCTTGTGAACGGGGAATAATGCCATGATGGCGGCTCTGACAGAGGAGGTGGTAGTAATAGCTAAGATGTGCGGGCACTGTCTAAGCGAGTGTAAATGTCAGATGTTAACACGTTTAGCTCAGCTAAGATGCCAATCTTTGTTGTGTGAAATAGCTGAGAACCGGAGCGAACACAGAGTCTTTGCTGAAAATAGCTGTGTGCTTATGAATGATACTCCATGATTTTCTGGGTAATATCTGGAGAAGGTCTGCTTACGCAGCCATGGAGATGATATTTTGTATGGAATAATAAAATAGGTGCATCATGTGTTAGACAAATAGCTCCTAAATCTGTAGCAAATCTGTAGTCCTTGCTACTATAGGGGCTAACGCAGAAAAAAATTGTTTGAGCCACCATTTTGAGATCAGCCTGGGCAACAAAATGAGATATGACTATGTATGTGTGTATGTATGTATGTATGTATGTATGTATGTATGTATGTATGTATGTAATGCTTTGCTACATCCCCACTCTTCCTCCCCCCCCCAAACTTCTACCTATTTTTTTTTCTCTCTCACCCCTACTTCTTGGACTACTCTTGTTTACCTCTTACCACCCTTTCTCTGTGGCCCAATCCTCTACCTTCTGAGTCAGGTCTCAGGATCCACATCTCCCCCTAAGAACTCGTTATTACATATGAATAAGACCAGCGTGGCTGTAGTGTTCTTCTCTGACTCACTCGACCTCGGTCAGGGCTCTCCTCACTTTCTGCAAAGATACAGCTACTGTTTCTGTTTCACTTGAATCTCCTCACGGAATCTCCTCCCTCTGCCTTGCTTTTAAGCACCAGGATTTGGTAGGGGCCTTTCTCAGTTTCCTTGTTCTCATTTTGTACAATATTAAAAAATTGTCTATTTCTATGGTCTCCAGTACTCCCTCCAGCTGAAGATTTTTCAAGTCTGTATTTCCAGCTCAGACCTCCAAGGTAAGTTTCAGATCTCTGGATTCAACAGCTTTGGTAAATAACTACTGTTATTTGAACCCTATGAGTTCCAAACTAAGTTTATAATAATCCCCTCTTCCAAAACTACTCCTTTGTTACTGGGAACTGAAGCCAGGGCCTTGCAGTTGCTAGGCAAGAGCTCTGATATGAGGTGTACTGCATATCCGACCCCTCCTTGATTGTCTTTCTCATGATATTCCATCTAACAACTTTCAATTTCCCCAACCAGAAACTGGGTTTCATGCCTGGACCTCATCCACCCTCTCTGCTTCTAATCAAGCTTCAGGTTCTCTTGATTCCATTTTCCAGAAGTGGCTCTCAGATCCATCCACTTCTCTTCATTCCCACTGCCAGCACCTCCTTCTAGGCTGGCATCAGCTTTCAGCCAGATCTGGGTAATGCAATAGCTTTCTAAAGTACCCTGCATTCCATCTCATGCTCCCATCCATTCTCAACACCATGAAACTAATCCTGCTAGCACTGTTGAATTCTTCAGTGGTCCCAATGCCGCAGGATAAAATCTACAATCTCTAGCAAGGGCTATGAAGCACTCCATAAACACTCTAGTTTGGTCCAGCCTGGACGTTATTATGTACCGTTAGTGGTCCATGTTCCAGTCATTCAAAAACTATGTTGTATTGATCAAACGTGCTCTGGGCTTAAACTAGAGCTCTTTAGACAAGCTGTCGTTGCCAAAGACACTTTATGCCTCTTCTGCCGGTTTACTTTTAGCTCTTCGCCTGTTGTATTTTCTTTAATTCAACATATATCCCACTAGCCAATAAACCCATCCTAATTCCCAAGGGTAGGGCAGGCTAGAGGCGTTCCTCTTGTATACTCCCTCTCTCTCCTCTTTGTGCTGCTGTTCCTGGCTTACTTGTCTGTTTCCCTACAACCCCAGAGCTCCGTGAAGTAGGGTTGTGTCAGTTTTGTTAAACTTGTATCCTTGTTGCCTAGCACAGTTTCTGGTTCAATAAATATTTCCTGAATGAAAGAATCTAAGTGACAGCCAAACCGAGGAAGCATGGATTGCTTTATGGGTAAGTAAATTATAATTTATTTATGGGTAAGTAGATTATAATTTATTCCAATGTTTACTACATAGAATTCAACGCTCCCTGGTCCAACCTCAGTGAGGTTGTCAGACCCCAGACTCCTTTGGGTGTTCATGTTCCAATCAGACCCTTTTGTGGAACTTCCGGGCTGTGATTTTTCCAGTGATCTGTCCCCACGTACTTGACTGCAGCCTGAGGAGACTGCAGACTGTGTTTAGTTCATTCTGGTTGTCCCCAATGCTTAGCCTGGCAAATATTCATTAAACATTGCAAGCCAACATGGTTATGGGAAGGGGGGGATGCATTTTAAGATGTTCATTGAAGCAATGAAGATGTTAGCTGATGGGAGGAGTGAGAGCCACTTTGAAGACAGGCTGAGTAGTGAAAGTAACGGGGAGGGAAGGTGACGCAAAGGATGGCCTGGCTGATAAAAGGGAAGTTGGCTCCAGCGCAGGGAGAAAAGGGAGGCTTGGAGCTGGGGAAGGGACTCTGAGCCCCAGAGAGACAGAGAAGGCAGAGACAGACGAAGGAAGGATTGGAATCTGGCATCAGAGGAGCTGGGGGACAAACGAAAACACGAAAGGCAGCATCCCCTAGTGCCGGCAAAATTCAGATTTAAGAATCTTTTCTTGGGAAGGTCTCCCATTCAGGCAGTCCAGGGATCTCCCGCCCTCATTCCAGCCTCCCTCTTTTTTGCCTTTCTTTCACCGGTTCCTGTCTCTCTGCAGTGCTAGACTAGCGGCTAGGAGGCTAGAGAGCTGGACCTGCTGGCAAGAAGAGGCCCGTGCGTCCCACCTGTGTGGTGCTGAGTTTGGGATTGACAGAGCCAGTGTGAGGCCAGCCGCTTTGAAGCAGATGGTATGAAGGTGTGATGGAGTTGTAAGAGCTTGCGGGGTGCAGTGTGTGGAGGCGAGCGACCTGTGTAGAAGCCAAGGAAGTGCTGCCAGGGTTCTCGGTTAGTGCTATGAGGTGCGTGAGAAAGGCTCAGGGAGGCACCCACCTCTGGTCCCGGTTCCGCGGATCCGAGGGGGCTCGCAGCTGAGGTTGCCGGCATGACTGCTGTTGAGAACCGGGACCCCCGGGCGGCACCCGGGCCCCTGTACGCTGCGGTTCAGCTTGAGCAGATCCATGGCCTCCGTGAAGTCCCACTCAGCTCCGCCAAGCCGGCCCCAGCGCCGGTTCCACCTGCTCCGGTCGGGTTCCCGCCCACCGCCCCGCCCGCCCCTCCCGGTTCCCGCCCTCTGCCCCGGCCTCTCCACTGCCCTACCAGCCTCCCCCTGGTTCCAGCAGGTCCCAGGCTCTGAGCGGCTTTTGTCCCACCAGGTGACACTTGGCGCGCCTCCTCCGCTCCAGAGTTCCGCGCGCGCTCCTGGGTGACTGCTCTCCAGGCTCGCCCCCGCGCTAGGTTCTCCTGTCTTCTCTCAGAGATGTCTTTTCTGCCCACCTCTCGAATCAATGCCCCTACCTCTGTGTGTGCGTGTGTGTGTGTGTGTGTGTGTGTGCGCGCGCGCGCGCGCACACACACACACACACACACACACACACACACACACACGGCGCGCGCTCCTGCGGGAGGAGATGACATGATGGGGGCGGGGGGCGGTGAGTAACTGCTGTAGGGTCCAGCATTTTTCTTTGGTGGTTTAGAAGACAGGGAGGTGGCGGTGGTGATCCGGTTTGCATCCCGGGTTCCCCGCTACAGAGCAGGTGCCTTAGCCCGCCTGGAGCCGCAGTTACCCTGCTCTGCCGCAGTGGCCCCAGCGACCCCCTCAGTATCACTACCTTAGCTCCTTGCAGCTCTTTGGTGAGGGCTGCAGTAGCCCTGCCCGGGCACACCCCACCTCCTTATAAGAAACCCCAAACCCGGGCTTCTGCTCCAAGGCTTCCAAGAAGGTCTCGGAGGGCCTCTTGCTCACAACGGAGACCGTACAAGGGAAAGGGCTGACTCGAACTGAGAGTGGGCTCAGGCACTGGGGGCGGCCGGAAATGCAAGTGAGAACTGCAGTGAGAAATGAACCCAGTTGAGATGTAGCAGGGTTAGTCTAGCCCTGGCCCTACCCAGGGGAAAGATAGGGAGCAAGGCAGCTTGGTCGGCTCCCTGGGCTGGTCTCTAGGCAGCGTCCACCAGCCCCTGAAACGCTGATGCTCTCTCTGTTTGCCCTCAGCACAAGGGCAGCACCCGTGTGCAGCGCTGGGTTCCCACGAGAGGGGGTGGAAGAGGGCTGGGTCACTGGGGTGGGCAGGAATAAAGCTGGAAGGTGCGTGCGGTGAGCAAGACTGAGGCGGACTCAGCTTCCTGAGGCAGGAGAGGCCTCCTCTACTTCAGCCTTCTTTCTTCCACTCTTCCCCATTCCAAAGAAATTCCAGCATGATGCGAAATATCATCTTTTGGGCTCCCAAAGAGGTGGGAAGGGCACATCTGAGGAGCAAGAGAAAACTGGAGTTGGGTGGAGTCTGGCTATATGGGAAATTCAGACTTAGCATCCCGTGGCCGTTTTGGAAAGGATCTGCCTGATCAGTCAGCACTGACAGGTTCCTGAGGGCTGAAGCACTGGAGAAAGGGTTAAACCGGGATGTCATCACCCGCTCCCTCCCGCTCCGTTGCTCCGTTGTCTCCCTTGCTCTTTTGAGAGCCCTGGATCAGTGGAACTTGATGTGCTGTTTGTCCAGCCTCGGCACAGGTGGCCTCTCTGATAATCCGATGAACTTTTCCCACATTGGATGATGGCAGCACTGAGGAACGAGGGGGCAAAGGCAATGGAGGACGGAGGAGAGAGACGTAGATTGCGTTCACTCATCCAGCAGACCATGTAGCTGTCAATTTCGGGACTGTGTGCCACTTTCCCACGTAGTGAGTCTGCCCCTGAAGAGCTCCCACTGTAGTGGGGATTTTACCGGGTAAGCCAGAGACTGCAAATACAACTGGGAAGATGTACAAATCGAAAAATTAGGACTCAGGGCTGGAGACCTGGTATTAAGAGCGCTTGCTGCTCCTGCAGAGGACCTGGGCTTGTTCCCAGCGCTGACCAGGTGAGTCTCAACTCCATTTTCAGCAGATCCATTGCTCTCTTCTGGCCCTTGTGGACACCAGGCCCTTATGTGGTACACAGACTACCTACATGTAGACAAAACACTCATATCACATAGACAGATCAAGTGAAAATAAAAAAGGAAACCTAAGAATCACCCTCTATGCACCTCCACCGCTGTAACGGATGTTGTGACACAAAGTCCAGACTCCTTAAAAATAAAGGGTTCATTGCCTAGAAGATGGCTCTCCACTATCAGTCCCCTTCAGAAATTGTCAGCGCAGAGTACCAACTCCCTCAAAATCATGAACTCTTCCTGGGCTATCATACATCCAACGACTGATGAGCCCAGAGAAACTAGCCCCAGTCTCCACATCCCACCGAAGGACAATCTGTTCACAGCACCCCAGCTTCTCCTTTGAGGCTGGCCGAGGACTCTGTTGAGTCTGAATCACTGCTCAGCTCTCGCTTTGCCCAAACGTATTTTCCTCCCCCTTGCGCAGGTGTCGACTTTGAGAGTACTCCTTAGTAAGTGCCCTTCACGGTAATCTCTGATTTAGAGTTTGATTCCTGTGGAATTGTGGCTGCATTGCTCCCACAGTCGACCAACCACAAAGTCCTGTTGATTACAGCTACTGAGTGAGTCTGCCTGTATTCGGCAGCCCCTTGTACTACAATACTACAACCCCAGGCTCCCAGGATGGCTACCGCACTTTGCTGGTGCCTCTTTACATCTAATCCTCTATGCTATGGTCAGAGTTTTATATTCAGAATACCATTTGAGTTATGCCAACCTACCGACCTTTGCTTTAGGAGAGAGGGGTTCATCTACGAATTCAGTTGGGTCTATGAAGCCCTCATAGCTCATAGCCTGGCTTCTGCTGGCCTCTTCAGGTGGCACTGTAGTTTTTGCTCCTCCTGCTGTACACACAATGGTCTTCTTTAAATGGCCCCTTCTGAGATACCAACCCACCCACAAAACCCTAGACCCAAAATTTGCCCTGCCTATAAGATGTGCAGGGATAAAGAAAATGGAACAGAGATTGAGGGAATGGCCAACAAATGCCTGGCCCAACCTGAGACCCTCCCCATGGGAGAGACCCAACCCCCTGCACTGTTAATGACACTCTGCTGTGCTTGCAGAAGGGAGCCTGGCATAACTGTCTTCTTAGAGGCTTAATCTAGCAGATAATGGAAGCAGATGCAGAGACCCACAGCCAAACAGACATTAGTCAGAACTCGGGGAGTCTTGTGAAGAGTTAGAGGAAGTATTGCAGGAGCTGGAGTGGCCAAGGACACCACAAGAAAACTTACATAGCCAACTCACCTGGGCCCATGAGGGCTCATAGAGACTGAACCACTAGCCAAAGAACATGCATGAACTGGTCCTAGGCCACCTACATATATGAAGCTGATGGGCTGCTTGGTCCTCAAGTGGGTCTCCTGACAGTTGGAGCAGGGCCTGTCTATGACTTGGACTCTGTTGCCTCCATCTGGATCCCGTTTTCTTAGCAGGGCTCTCTTGTCTTGCCTCAGTGAAAAAGGAGGCTATTAATCCTCATTCAATTTGATGTCCCGGAGTGGGTTGGTACCCAAGGGTGGAGGCGGGTGGGGAGGAAGGGGATATGGGGAAGTGGGTGGGAGGGTAGGACTGGGAAAAGAGGAGAGAGCGGGGTTTTGATTGGGATGTAAAATGAGCGAATAAATAAATAATGAAGAAAAAAAGGTGCCCCCTTCTACCTTTTACTATGCATTTTCCAGTCACATCAATTTTGCATATGCTTTCTGGAAGATTCTCTTTTCCTTCAAACCCATATATCTAATCTCATGTGTAAATATTATTTTTATTCCTCAGATGATGGGATGAGATGAGTGCTGTACCCAAGATTTATGAAGACATGGTTTGGGCTGAGCCCAGAGCATTTCTAACAAACTATCCCTAGGCCTAGGTTTGGAAGCTTCTAGCCTTCATACAATCTAATCTTCTGCAAGCTCGGGCATGAAGGTTTCAGCTTCCCGCCTCCATCTGCTAACTACTGTTGAATAAGCTCATCTTTTCTAGTGCTCACTGAACTATGGCTGGCTGGTTTAATTCAACTGTTACAGCTCAAAACTCCTCTCCGGGCTGACTGATTCAAACTGGTTTCTCTCTGCTGTTTACTGAATTGCTCTGATTGGAAAAACGGTCTCTGGATTCCACCAACTGAATTACACCAACTCAACTGAACTGCACCAAACTTCACTGAACTATACTGTACTCCCAAACTTTACTATACTGTCTTCTCCAACTCTCCTGCTCTCTTTCTGCACTGCTCTTAAGTAGATTCTCTTCCCTTTCTGTTTTCCCAAGAGTTGGTCAAATCCTGTCTTTAACTCATTCTGTCCAAACTTTTTCTGATTTCTCACTTTGTCTGCCCCTCAATTGACTTCATTGTTTGGGATTACAGGTGTGTGCTAAATGTCAGCCAGGGGGATTACAGGTGTGTGCTAGGGGTGTGTCTTCATTCAGCCGAATCACACAGACCCAGGTCTTTGGATATGACCCCTCGCCAAAGCAGCCATGTTGCTGGGAAAAAAATCCTCTACACTCCTGTAGATTAGCATTCTACAGAGATACTTTGCTGACTGTCTTGGAGGGTGGTCTATAATCATGTAAACATCTCTAGAGTCTAGATAGGCCAGTGAGGAACTAGACACATGGCCATGTTATGTGGGAGCAAAGATTTTACGTGGAATTAATGTCACTAGTTAGTTGCTCTCAAAAATACAGAAATTATTCAGGCACTCCTAGTCAAATCATACAGATCCTTGAATAGCGAAGAGTTTTCCCTGGCTGGACAGGCAGCAGCAGAAACCAGATATTTTAAGAAGGGAGTGTATGTCAAAATAGAGTCTCAAGTAGCACTGGCTGGACCAGAACCCACCATGTAGCTGAGAATGACCTTGAACTCCTGATCTTTCTGCCTTCATTTTTCCAGTGCTGGAATTACAGGTCTGTACTACTGTCCTATTTTTCGTTTTGTTTTGTGTTTTGTTTTATCAACTTTACAACAAGGCAGAGTTACCTTGGAAAGAGGAACCTCAAGAAAAAAAAATGACTCCATCAGATTGCCTGGAGGCAAGTATCAAGCATTTGTT